GAAGCCTATTACAATCATAACAGACTTTTCAGCACAAACTCTCATCTCAAGAAGAGCTTGGAGTGAGGTGTTTGAAGCCCTCAAAGAAAACAACTTTCAACCCAGACTGATGTACACAGAAAAACTTTCATTCAAATTTAATGGAGAAACAAGATACATCCATGACAAAGAACAATTGAAGAAATTCATGTCCACCAAACCAACACTAGAAAGAGTATTGAAAGACATACTAGACAGACATAAAAATGACCACAATCCCCTGAACAACAACAGAAAGTAACCACCAGGTAGGACAAGCAATTAAACAAGGGGGAAAAGCAGAAAGCAAACAACTGGAACATAACATGACAAAGTCGAGCTAGTACATGTCAGTTACATCCATAAATGTAAATAGCTTCAATTCACCTATCAAAAAATAGGTTGATACAACAGATCAAGAAACAGGATCCCACAATATACTATATACCAGAAGCACATCTGATCCAAAAGGAAACACATGGATTAAAAGTGAAAGCATGGAAGACAGTATTCCATGCAACAGGAACTCAGAAAAAAAGCAGAATAACTATTCTATTTGCAGACAATATGAACTTCAAAAATAAATTGATTAAAAGAGATAAAGAAGGTCACTACATACCAGTTAGAGGAAGAACAATTATAAATATATATGCACCAAATACAAGAGCACCCAACTATATAAGACAAATCTGATGGACATGAAAAACCAAATCCAGAAGAACACAATAATAACAGGGACCTTAACAGCCCATTGTCACAAATAGATAGATCAACTAGCCAAATAGAAATAATAGAACTGAATCATACCTGTGAGCAATTGAAATTAGTAGATGTTTACAGAGTGTTCCACCCACCCACATCAGAACACACATTCTTCTCAGCTGTGCATGGGACACTCTCCAAAATAGACCATATATTATCACATAAAACATTATTAAGTAAATGCAAAGGAACTGAAATTATCCCATGCATAATATCTGACTACAGTGCACTGAAATTGGAAATTAATGACAAAACAAATTGCAAAACTTGCATCAATGAAATTACAGAAAAAATAAAGCAATACCTACAATTCAAAGAAAATGCAGAAACGACATACCGTAATGTGTGGGATACAATGAAAGCAGTCTTAAGAGCAAAATATATAACAATAAATTATTATACCAAGAAAATAGAATGAGTGCAAATAAACAACCTAATGCTTCATCTCACGCTTCTAGAAAATGAAGAGCAAGTTAAACCCAAGGCTCATAGAAGAGAGGAAATTATATAAAGATTAGCGCAGAAATCAATGCAATTGAAACTAAACAAACAATACAAAGAATTAATGAATAATATGAAGAATTAATTTTTTGACAGAATAAGCAAAATTGACAAACCTTTAGCTAACCTTATCAAGAAAAACAAAGAAAAATCTAAATTCATACAATAAGGTCTGAAAAGAGGGAAATTACTACAGATCCCATGGAAATTCAAAAGATCATGAATAACTACTTTGAAAATCTCTACTCACAGAGTTGAAAATACAGAGGAAATGGACAGATTTCTAGAAACATATCAACTATCAAAACCCAACCAAGAAGATACAGCAATTTTGAGTAACCCAATATCAGATATTGAAATTGAAAATGCAATTAAAAACTTACCAACACAGAAAAGCCCAGGTCCTGATGGATTCATGGCTGAATTCTACAAGCAATTTAGCAAAGATTTGATCCCATACTTAAACTCTTCAATGAAATTGAAAAAGAAGCAATCCTCCCTAAATCATTCCTGAAGGCAAGTATTACTCTCATACAAAAACCAGAGATCCAATAAAAAAAAAGAGAACTACAGGCCAATCACACTAATGAACACTGATGCAAAGATTCTCAATAAAATCTTGGCAAATAGAATGCAGCAAATCATTAAGAAGATTATACATCTTGACCAAGTAGGATTCATTACAGGAATGCAGAGATGGTTTAACATATGCAAATAAATAAATGCAATACACCACATCAACAGAGCCAAAACCAAAACCACATGGTCATCTCAATAGACGAAGAAAAAGCTTATGATAAAGTCCAACACTTGTTCATGATAAAAACACTTCAGAAACTTGGAATACACAGTATCTACCTCAATCTCATAAAAGCCACCTATGACAAACCAGCAGCCAACATTAAACTAAATGGACAAACCTGAAAGTTTTCACTCTGAAATCAGGAACAGGACAAGAACGTCCACTATCACCACTTCTCTTCAATATAGTTCTGGAAATACTAGCCAGGGCAATCAGGCAAGATAGAGAAATAAAAGGAATAAAGATAGGAAAAGAAGAAGTTAAATTATCATGATTTGCAGATGACATGAAACTCTGTATAGAAGACCACAAAAACTCCATTAAAAGACTACAAGAGGTAATAAACAAATTCAGCTGTGTAGCTGGATACAAAGTCAGTGCTCAAAAATCAATAGCAATCCTGTACACAAACAAAAACTCACTGAGCCAGAAATTATGGAAATATTACAATAGCATCTAAAAAAAGAAATACTTAGGAATTACATAGAGTAGAAAATACAGAGGAAATGGGCAGATTTCTAGAAACATATCAACTAAGAATGTAAAAGACCTATGTGCTGAAAATTATGCTATGCTAAAAAAGGTGACTGTAGAAGATATTAGAAAATGGCAGGATATTCCTTGCCCTTGACTAGGAAGAACCAACATTGGAAAAATGGCCATACTCCCAAAACTGTTATACAGATTTAATGCAATCCCCATCAAAATAGTATTAACATACCTTACAGATCTAGAGAAAACACTCTTAAAATTCATTTAGAAACAGTGGAAACCTAGAATAGCAAAGGTAATTCTTGGCAACAATGGCAGGCAGGAGGAATCTAATTTCCTGACTTGAAACTATTCTACAAAGCTACAGTGATAAAATCAGGATGATACCTGCAAAGAAATAGACCTGAGGATCAATGGAAAAGATTAGAAGATGCAAACATAACTACAAAGTCACTCGGCCACCTGATAGTTCTCAAAGGCGCTAAACATGTTCACAAAAAGAAGGATAGCCTCTTTAATAAATGGTGTTGGAAAAACTGCCTCGCCACGTGTCAAAGACTGAAACTAGACCCATGTCTATCACCATGCACAAAACTAAAATCTAAATGGATCAAAGACTTAAATATTAAGACAGAAACACTAAATCTACTGGAAGACAAGGTAGGTAGGAATCTTGAAAGCATAAGGGTAGGTAGAACAATCACGAACAAAATGCAAACTTCATGAGAAACACTTCAAAGAATCGACAGTTGGAACCTCATATTATTGAAGTTTCTGCACTTCAAAAGAAATCACCAACAGAGTGAAAAGAAAACCCACAGAATGGGAAAGAATTTTAGCCAGCAACCCCTAAGACAAAGGACTTATATCCAGAATATATAAATAATTGAAAATTATCAGGACACCCAAATTGAAAGACTCTCTCCAAAAATGGGCATCTGAGATGCACACACAGCTCTCAGATGAAGATACACTAATGGCAGATAAATACATGAAGAAATGTTCACCATCACTGATCATTTGAGAAATGCAAATTAAAACAGCATTGAGATTTCAACTCACTCCAGAAAGAATGGCAGCCATCAAGAAAACAACTGATAACAAATGTTGGTGAGGCTGCGTGGAAAAAGGAACACTGCTGCACTGTTGGTAGGAGTACAGACTGCTGCAGCCACTATGGAAACCAGTATGGAGAATTCTCAGAAGACTAGGATTGGAAGTTCCATTCAATCCAGCTATTACCCTCCTGGGTCCTTTCCCAGAAAAACTCAAAAGGTCATGTCATAGTGATATATTTGCACCCATGTTCATAGAAGCACAATTTGTAATAGCTAAATCTTAGAAACAATCAAAATGTCGATCAATTGTTTATTTTTTTGAAATTCCATATTATTTCTACCCTTTTTATGTTTTGCTTTTTTTTTACCTTTAAATAAAATTTTTAAAAAAAGAACTCATGTCAATATAGTACCTTGGGTTCCATCCTCAACACCAGAAAAGTGTTAAAGATTGTATCTTGAAGTAAAGTGTTTGATAAAGACCCCAAGAATTTGAGAGAAAAAATGGAAGCGCACTCATGTTTGCTGAATGTGTGAGTATTCTGTGTCCTAATAGGTATGACCAGATTGTTTTGCTTATTATCTGATAACCTGATAATCAGATGAGGATCTATCCAGTGAACCTCATAATAACATCTCAGCCTTTATAAATCTTTCATCATCTAATTTGTGAACATGCAGGGGCATCTGGCACTGAACATCAGACAAAAATTATTCTTGCTTTTTTTTTAAAGCAAGAACACTTATCACACACATTGACTCTGTTATGGTAATGGGAAGGAAGTTACACACTTTTAATAGATTTATTCAAGATGGATCAAAGTGAAGAGCTTGATTTAAGAGGATTATATGGCATTTTGGGAAGCAGAGGCAACAGATCAAACTGAGCAGGCCAGGTTGCTAATATGTATTGAAGGATTGCACACGCTCACATGAACTGAGATCATCAAAAGGAAGAAACTCCACTTAACAGAAAACAGTAATCCTCCAAGTTCTCACATACTAACACACTACCAGGTAGAAAGTGTTGCTTAAGTCCCCATCTCACAGGACAGTTTGAAACACGGCTAGAAAGAGGGGACAGGCAAGGACGGAGATCAGCAAGATCAAAAAGCTTGTGAAAACTGCAAGTGAGGATACTGCATTGAGGAGAGGATAGCCAAACCTGTGCTGAGAATAGAGACAGATGAGTGGGGAGGAGGACAGTGTGGACCCATGTATGTTCACGTGGGACTGAGGTGATCAGAGAGAATAGAAATGATGCAATGGCGAGGTTCACTGGAGATTCAGGGAGAGCGCCACATGATCACAGTGCTGAACTACCTGGGACAAAATGACCTGAGCATCCTTGAGAGTCTGGGTCTCACCTTGGCCTGATGGCACTATTCACCAGCACGAAGCTTGCTCTTCTGTCTCTGAGTATAATGGCTATGCTCAAACAGAGTAGGCAGGAAGGCAATGCGATCCAGGAGACTGGGATACCTGCAGCCAAGAGAGTGAGAAACTGTGAGCACCATCAAAAGGAACAGACAACGGTATTTTACACATGGCTCCACTACTGATTTCCATGATGGAGGTATTGTGAGAATACATAGGTATCTGCTCTCTTATTCTTTTTGCCTTCCAAGATGCCACAGATGATAAATCCTTTTAAATCTCGAGGGTAAGTCTCAGTTCACACCTTTTTGGTCCTGCCTTGCTCTCTCTAGGGGTGACAGGAGGCACTGGAAGTCTGGCAATGAGGCCTCCTGTCTTTTGTTGCCTGAGACTATGTTTTTCTAGACAAACACATTCACTCCTTGCAGTAGCTGGGCCATTCACTGTTAGTACTCTGAAACTGACAACTTGAAGCTTCCTGGTAACTGCAGAAGAAACTTAAATGGAACCTTCAGTCTATTGCTCTGCTAAGCAACAGACAATGCTGAGAATTCTGAAAGTTCTTTCTGTCTTAGTCTAAATGTGCCTGAAGGTCCCCATGTTGGTTCCACATAGGCTTGGCACCCAGAGAAGAAACTTAAATCATCTTCCATTTACTACTGTGCTAAGAATTCTGAAGACAGCTTTTTTTTAGGCTCATTTCTCCTGACACTCTTTCCTTTGACTCCACAGAAGGTTTGAGACCAAACCTCATTCTGTGGTGGCTGTACCTTTTGACTAAAAAACTCATCTTCTTTAAGACACAATAATGAAGGGATATGGAAACAGAAGGATTGCAAATTCTAGTTTAACAGAGTGATTATGTAACTGAGTGAGACCTTGCCTCAAAAAAAAAAAAAATAGCCTGGAGGTTTATTTCCTTGAGATGGCTCTAGGTAAATTCTCAAAGCCAGTAACAAATAAAACAAACAACAAGTAAAACAAACAAATGTATGCACAGAGATAAAGATAGAGAGAGAGGCAAAGAAGCACGACCAGACAGCCCTGTTATTGCTTCAGCATGTCAACATGTTTAGGACTCATAGTAATGGTGGTCTTCAAATGTGTTCCTCTTCTTTCTGGTGCTAGTACCCTAATCATTAACTATTCAACTATTCTTCTTGCTATGGCCTGGTTACCTCAGTTTAATTATATTTAGTATAGTAGGACATGGTCCTCCTCTTTCTGTGACCAAATGAGATGGTAAGGAGAGATCTTCTCCAGTGGTAGAATCTATCTTATTCCTCCTATTACTAACAAGATATGTGGGACTCAGATATGGGCCTCAGTTTCTAAGACCACTGGAATTTGTTGCCTAGCCTGGGCAGTTTAAGGAACTGGGGAGATCTTTCTCAAAATAAAAAACACGAAAGTCTGAGGAAGGAATTCCAGGGGGACAGCCTTGGCTTCAATCACCACTATGGAAATAATGTAAACAGAAAAGGAAATTTTAAGATGTAGGTGTCTTCCACATGCAGAATCAAGTTGTTTCCTTAGAGCACGACTGTTTTCTCCGTGTCTCTCTAGGAAAATCTCCATCCACATCCTCATCAGGGAGGGAGGGACCACTTGATGGACAGAACCCACCCTCCCCACGTGCAGTTTCTTCTCCACACAGTGAGTCTGAACCCAGTTTTGATCCTGAACTTCATCCCAGCACTTAGGAGGCTGAGGTCGGAGGATCGCTGTGTGTTTGAGGCCAGCCTGGGGAACGTCGTGAATTTATTTATTTATTATTTTTTTTTTTTTTTGTCTTTTTCATTTTTATCGGTACCAAGGATCGAACTCACGACCGCCTGCTTGCAAGGCAGGTGCTTATGCCGCTGAGCTAAATCCCCAGCCCCTCGTCGTGAATTTAAAGTGAGCTTGAATTAAACAGCGAGGCTCTTTGTCCAAAAAAGAGTTTAGTCCACGGCCCTTCCTATTTTGTATTCTGAAGCAGAGTTTCGCTAAATCTGTATTTTCCCTTCTTGATGTCGAAATTGTCTTATCCTCTGCCTTAAGAGTTTCCGGCATTAGTCGCGAACCACCCCAAACCAGCCGGTAACTACTTTGACAATGAGAGGAAAAATCTCTTCAGTCCACACTAACAAACCCAAATCTGACCCCAGACCAATCTTAGGAACTTACCTTAAACTACAGAAAGGTGAGCACCGCGAGTCTCTAATGGCGCAGACCATCTGTGGTAAGGCCCTAACAACGGAAATGCAAAGATCCACATCCGGTCACAGTTTTCCAGGGTCTCCAGGGCAGTCATCAGGGGCAAGTCCTTAAAGGGACCACACTCTTTTGGAGTCATTCAGTTCTCCCTAGGTCCTAGCCTTGATATCATATACCTCTAATCCGAGTATACGTTTTCCTCACTCACTGAGGACAAAATCCATGCATACCCACAGACTTTCCCTACCATAATATCAGCAGACTCGGTGTAGGGATAAGAATTTGTGAGCCTGTGTTTGGGCACAGGTCAACTCAATATTAGGAAGAGTTTTCAGCTTAATCAAGATTTTACTCAAAGCCCTTTGTCTTGTTGACTAGGGAACAGTCTACCATAGGCTGGTACGCTGCATTCTGAGACTTCAATTTAGAAATAGGTTCTTTAGCCTGGAGGCTCTGACAAGGAATCTTTACTATGATGACATTTATGACAGTGAGTGCCCTGTCATAACACTTGGATTCTTTTTGATCCCTGTTTGATTCTAGGTCTGTTCCTTATGTGAATGTATGTTAAACTCATTAACACAGAGGTCCTCAGGGCCATCAGGTTTTTTCACATAGAAATCAGACTAACTTCTCAGTCTGGGGCTTCTTGGAAAGACAAAATAGGGGAAATTCTTCAGATGTTCTTTGATGGTTTCTTGTCTGGATGGAGGCTACATTTATGTTACATTCAGACACTCAAAGAGATTAACAATATTACAACTCTGCATGACATTTATCTGAACTGATTCATTTCATGTGAAATTCTTGCCTCTCTGAGAGTTCCATGTTCGTACTCAGGAGATCTTCCTATAACTACAGTCTTTGCAGGATCTTCAAGAATAAAACTGCTGAATCTGGACATTACAGGATCCAATGATCTGTCTCAGATCTCACTTTTCTCATTTTTGATCCTCACACTCACATCTCTCACAGTTTGATATCCTTTTCTCTATTGAAGTGAGGTCACTTTCCCCAAGGCTCTGGATGACTCCCACATTGCTAGTTATTGTTTTCTCAATCATTTGAAGGAAGTCTCACCTGGACTTCTCTCTCCTCATTAAAGAATTTGGAGAAATTCCTAGTCCTTGCATAAAATTGACTAGTTTTCTCCCTGAAGTTCTACAAAGAAGCAATCTCTGTCATAATTGTTATTTGTTGTTGAAAAACTGCAACGTAAGCAAAGAGGAAGCTGCTTCTCCCAGAGGGCCAACAACTTTTTCTTTTCTGTTCTGTTCTGCTCTTTTCTTTTCCTTACTTTTCTTTTTTCATCTTTCTTTCTTTTCTCTCTCTTTCTCCCTCTCTTCTTTCCTTCCCTTCTTCTTTCCTTTCTCCCTCCCTCCTTTTCTCTCTTTTTTGTCGTTTTCTGTAAAGGCTAACTGGAAACTAACAAAAATAAGGTTAGAGACTTCACCCGTACTGGTGAAGGGAATGAGTAGAATAGTACCACCCTCTTGCTCTGCTCTCAGCTGTGTGAGAGAGAAGGATGCAATACTTAAGCAGATTTAAATCATGATGGAGCAATGAGTGGAAAGTCAGAATTCTCCTGTCCTGCTCCCAGCAACACGAAACAGTAAAGAGCAGGGCAGTGAATTAGCCCCCATGCTGCTCCCAGTGTCATCAGAATAGAAAGACCAAGTGGAGTGAAACAGAGAAGGTGTAATGGCCAAGAGGGAGTGAATGTACACAGGCGGAAATCAGCCTAAGGATGTCTCTGTGTGAGGGCACCACAGCAAATGAGAGAGCAAATCAGAGGCAAACAGGGTAAGCAGACATGAGTGGAACACAAAGCAACATACAGAAAGTTGCTGACCCAAGTCTCCATATCGGGAAGCTAAGATCATCCTCACATAAACCTCTAATTCTACTGAAGACTTGGTGTGGTTACCCAGCCAAGAACAGTAGATATCAGAGGAATTTTATTTACTTATTTATTGCTGTTTTTTGTTTTGTTTGTTTTTCTTCCTTTTTTTTTTTTTTTGACTTTTGGAGTTGTTTAGGATTTTACTTTTATTGTTTGTTTTGTTTTGGTCATTTTTTTCTCGGTTCTTAGCTTCATTTCTTGAGTTTTTTTAATATTTTCATGTCAGTGCACATTGTCGCTTGTCTTTTTGGTTCGCTTGAATATTTTTTTTTTGCTTTTTTCCTTCCTTATTTATCCCTTGTCCTTCTCTCAAATTCCCCAAAGATTTGGTGATCATCCTTTTTTCCTTTAGCTTTGCTTCTACTACATTTCTTTTAATTTATCTCTTTTTTCCCCTTGTCCCCTTTAAATTTACCACCCATAGGCCAATGCCACTCTATTAAGGGGAAATTCACAAAATAAAGGTTTCTAGTTTCTGTTGATTTGGTTATACAGCTGTAGATTTTGCTTCTATTACTAAAGGTATGAAATTAATATTTGCCACAGTTTGTCTGTTTCTAGGCTGTGCTTGATGCTATTGTAACTAATAATTATACTACCAGGGTGCCATATCGGTTAAAATCAGTTGTTCTCCCTTGTATGATGACACTGTGATTGTCTGGGACCACAATCATCATCATAGTCTAATACCAAAGGACTGGATGTTGAGCCATATAGATAGCATCTTCTCATTCCTAATAAATTGTGAAGGTAAGATATTGAGACAGACAAAGATGACAAGTGACAGCTATACCTAGAACACAACTCTGAGGAGTAGACCTTGCTTAAGTGAGTCTCAATACTAGTGATAAACCCATCTACTACAAGAAATTTACAAATAGTAACAAAGAAAACAAATGAAAATTTAAAAATATAGAATATAACAACACACAGCAGCAAAATGTAAGACCAGATCTCTAGCTCACCTAGGACAAATTCAGGGGAAAACAAAATAGAGGAAATAAG